AAACAAATCAATCAGCGTAGTGTCCCCGCAGGACTCTCACAGACTCTGCGATGGCTTCCGGGCGGTTCTGTTCCGGTACGCGCCTGAGCATACGCCCCATCATTTGGCCGTACGCGGCGCATTCGTCCAGAGGGTCCTGCTGCACACCGGCTCAATTCTCTTCCAGCCTTTCGTCCAGGGCCTCTAGCCGCCCCAGGAACTCCTCTGCGCGCTCGTCGCGGACGCGTCCCGGATTGGGCGTACACCGTTTCCGGCGGCGTTGACCCGAGCACCTGGGCCGCGGGGGGCGGGTGCGTTGTAACGCCGCGGTGGCTGAACTTGCTCTCCCACCTCACCATCTACTTCCTGCTCCTCTTCTCCGAGCTGGGCCCTCTCAAAACGCCCCTCCTCCAGCATCATTTGCACGTACTGGTCTTGTACGGCGGGGTCAGGAACGTCCACTTGGTTCCGCGGGGCCGCGGGCTGGTGACCCCTGCGCCTCCCTCTTCTACCCCCTCTAGCGCGTAGGGGCGCACCACCACCGCGCCGTTGGTCTGGCGAGTCTTGCTGTGGCGGGCGTGCAGGCGAGCCAAGCCCTGACGTTGCTGATGGTGAATGATGGGGAGAACCTGAGTGTTTCATTAAGAAGACTTTGCAGTGCAAGGAGAACACTCCTTCAACCGTGACAACTGCTCCACTCCGGACCAGGAAAAGTGCTGGAATAAAGCATTGAAGCAATTACTGAACACATTTTAAGCTCATAATTCAAAGAAGCTACCGGAGACAACAAGATAACTAACTGGGCTTTGACAACAAAGGCTAGAATAATAGTTTTAAGTTAAGCGTTAGTGAACATGCCACAAATCAATCTCTAGCCGTGTTGATTTAAATGGGACATGCGAAGTCAAACACATATTTTGAGAAGTCTCCTTTTATAACAAGGTTCAATTTTACATTTTAAAGAAGTTGCGGATGCTTAATTAATCTGGACTTCCAGGAAAAGAACTCACCCCAATAAACTGAGGCAAACTTTGCCATTTGAGTAAAGATTGGGATTGAACCTCACTTTACCTCCAGAGGTAGTCATGAATCGAACTTTCGGAGGATGAAAGGGGTAATTTGAAGGAAAACCAATGAAAAAGTAGAAGAACCCCTTTTCGTAGGGGGTCCCTGGTGCACCAGTGATCAAAACATGCACCTTTAGGAAGTCTTGTTCATCTGGCTCCATAAGTATCCCCTCCGGGGGTTCATCTATCAAATTTTTAATGTCACTGTAAATGAAACAGATATTCAAACAGTCAGAGCATTCTAAACCAAAAATATTGAGTGTAGGGAGGTGAAAGTTGGTGGTGCCATAACCTTTTCATACGAAAGGAGCATTGGGGTGTAATTTGAGTCACATCCGTAGAATTCATTTGAAGAGGATCCCAATCAAGCATCTTGGTGTGAAGTTTGAAATACAAGTTCGGCGAAGAATGTAGATCTTTGAAGGGAGAAAGCACCGAACGCACCGAACAGGAGCAAGAACAATAGCCTTAATGGCGGGAACAGGCGGGAAGAAGAAGAAA